TTTCTAAGCACTATGCAGTTATGTTGGCTTTATTGACTGAATAAAAAATCGGGCCTAAGGGATCATGAATTACATAACGCGCCTTTGGTCCACCCTTTCTTCAGAGAGATTTTGCAATAGGCCGTGCTGCTTGAGGCGTGGCTTCGCAGTTTGCCAATTTTATTTCTCATCTTTCAAGTGGTCTTTTCCGGACCATTCACCCGATATTTCGAGTGACTCAGTTTCCTGCCGTTCTACATGATGGTGACCTAATGTTTTGCCATAATTGCCTGAGATTTTATGTTTTATTAAATGTCCTAGGCCAGGTATTTCTTATTTTAGATCTAAGATTGTAAATTTTCTAGTCGATATCCTGCATGCCGAGGCTATAGAGGCTGAAGTATTTATCAGATTGATTAGAAGAGTGAATTAAGAATATCTGAGGATGTAAGTTCAGATTGGAGGCCTTGAAACAGCTCCCAGTTTGTCATATTTTTAAACAGATCCAAAGCTCCCCTCGTTCAAGCAGGGCACGGAATATTAAACATTGCTGGTAGGTGATCTCAGTCCAGGATGTCAGTGACAATGACCACAGTGCCGTGTACATCACCTCTAATACCAGGTGTGTAGTACGTACAGACTAGTGTAGCTGAAATTTAGAAGTTCGCAGTAACAAATAATTCCAAGAGCTTCGAGCGTGAAGGGTTTGAAACATCAGTAATCCAAACAGGGTGCTTTACATTCAGGTCGCCTACCAGGATGTACTTAGTTCTAAGAGCTAATAGCTTTGTGATGTCGGCCTGCGTAAATTTATTAACGGCTGCAAGCAAAATGTCAGTGTACCCAGGCCGTATGCAGAGCCCTGCTGCTTCTACTGAAACGAAAAGAGGTTGGTCTGCGAAAGTGCGAGGGATGCTTTACTTAACTGCTTCGGAAGTTCCGCCTATGTGTCCGTCTTCACGGTCAGTCAAATAAATATCATAGTTTTGAATGTAGAACTTCATGTTGGGTTTCAGGCGTATCTCTGAGAACAGGGTCATGTGTGTTTTTAAGTTTTGCAACTGTATTTTTATCTCGTAGGCCTACCCTGCCTCCCGATTTTCAGAGGTTTATGAACTGTTTTTGGCAGTGTTTTTCAGCAGTGTGAACAAGGCTTCATTTTCAAGAGCAAACTTTCTTTCTCTGTCGGAGCAGCAGGCAGCTCTGTCATAATTCGCTGCAGTCATATGAAGGCAAGGAACATGGCGTCCGTTGCGTTAATGCTTACGTTGTTAGCCTGCACCGACTGACCTGAGATTCGATTGGTGTCCTGATGCATATTTCTGTTGCGATGGATGCTGCCGATGCTTCTGATCGGAGCTCTGAATAATCGACGCAGTGTTGTGTATGTCGAAAGGGACGTCCTCCCTGCTGATTCTGGTGTTGGGTTCCTGAAGTCTCCGTAACTTGATGGTTGCGGTTACTACCCACATTGCAGGTTTAGGCACTCTTCACTTCTGTTTCTCTGGGCACTCATAATGGCGAGGTTCACCCCCACACTAGAGGCAGGGAGGAGGCTGCTTACAGTGCACCCGGATGTGGCCAAAACGCTGACAGTTGTAAATTGTGTAAGGCAGGTTGGGATCTATAATCTTCGACCTTTGTAGTTATGTTCCAGAATTCTGTCAGTTTGAACATTTCTGGAGCGTCTTGATTCACTGCTAGGGTAGCCAGGAAGTTGGGGAGGGAGGTCTGTGACCCATCCTTCTTGAGTGGGACGTTAGGCGACACTGATGACGGCGTAATCTATCTCCTGGAGGGCTTGCAGTGATGTCCTCTGCAGACGTATTGCCAGGCAAATGCCTGCTAACGGCTTTAACCGGTTTATCAGCCTTTGTTCAAAATATAAAGAAGTCGACATTTTTCTCAGCGAGGAATTTTTGTGACATTGTAGTCCCCATAGTTTACTTGTATCCGGGTTCCGGTTGCAGCGTTCCGGAAGAACTGCCCGCTAACGTCACTTTGTAGTTCTCTCTGGAGACTGCTCAAGTTGACCTCCGATGTTAATACGATAGGAGGAGGCCTCTCTTTGCCTTGTCTCTCATTTGTTCCAGGTCCTTCACTGCTCGTCTCCGTATTTTCCATAGATAAATCCACGACTTGAGGAAAAATGTTATTCGTGGCCACCTGCCGTTGGTTTTGGTAAGTGGCAGGTGGCCTCCTTCGGTCACTTGGTGCAGCACTCAACTTCAGAGTTTCTATTTCTCTTTAGGTGTTTGTTTTGTTTTGCTTGCGACACATTTTCCTCTCCAGTTTCCATGGTGCTCGCTTGAAGGCTGTACACCGTATCCTTGCATGTTTCCGCTTACATGTGATTTAAGCCGGTAAATAGCTCCTGTCCATCCAGAAAGTCGCAAGCAGTTCCGGAATACCCCCATATGACCTTGGTGGGGTCCTCATAAGAACACCGCTTCTAACATTTCCTCTATTGTTGCGTGCATCTCTCTTGCTGTTAGAACGTGGCGAGGCTCGCATAGAAAAATACCGGGTGACGTGTTGTTACAGTGCTGTTCCCTAGCAATGGTCTTTTTGCTGGCTCCACAATTCTTGCTTTGAGTAAAATATGCTGCAATATTTAAAGTACATTGTTACGTCATTTAAACACAGAGAGTGCTAGCAGCTGAATATTCTACTTAATAAGCGATGACCACATTTAAAAATACATTTCTTGTGCAGTCATTAAATACTACAGACTCTCTCGCCAAGTTAGAATCGGCCCCAGCAGCACATCCTGAATTTAGTGGAGTTCTCTGCATTTTAACAGGCAGGTTCTGGCCACTGCAGCCGGTAATTTTGGAGTCATTATTCACAGAAAGCCTTCCTCTCATTTAGGCCTATCATTCCCTCTCTGACTCACACTCAGAAGCTTCAAGATGCATAATAATAACAATCTTCATTATTATGAACAAAAATGGTCCTGCGATTTCAACGGATGCCATTTTCCTGGGAGTTTAGCTGTTTCTGAGCACAGAATTATGCCCTTTGATGCGAGAACTATAGATTGAAATTTTGCTTTGAACGACGTGACTGGCTGACTGGCATTTACGACATTACACCTTCAACTACAATTTATTTTGCAAAGTGTGCACTCAGAGAGGAGGGAAACATGATTTGCAGTGGCGCTAGGTAATCCATGTGCCAAACCATGAGCGATCTAACCTTGAAATTTAGCTTGTCGCCTTGGCTTCTACCATCTCATACAAATATTATGACTATTGTCAAAAACAACTCTACTTAATCAAGTATATTGCCAAGTTCTATTTCGTTTATAGTTGATTTTGTGTTCTGTACATGTGGGAAGCCGTCATAAAGAGTATGATTTGATTCCAAAGAATGCTATTGATTTACAGTATTAATCTGCAATTTGTGTTCCAGGTATATGCAATCTTGAGTAAACTATGACTAACCCTACTTCAGAATTGAAATTTCATAACCGTCTTTTACGTATTTTTCTAATATCAATTAACTATTCGCTATGACTATGACGTCCAAATCACAGATTGAATTTAAAATAAATTAAAAGTCTTTAGTATATAAAATATGTTTGCTTTTGTATTAGTAATTAACTCTGTGTCATTGCATGTTACCATATTAATATCATTTGTACGGCAACGATTTCGCGCTGTCTGAGGAACGCACGAACTTCCTGTGTTCGAACGCTGGAGTCGTAATTTCGGATCCCACTAGTGGCATAATCGTATGTCCGATTGTATCTCTTGCATTGGCGTTGTCCTCTGTAGATAGAGCCCTTGCGATGGGCCGATCACCGTCCAAGGAGCCCTACCGGTTGTTTCTAGGATTCACGATTTAAGAAGTTAATTTTGTTTTTGAACAGTCCGGGGGGTATAATTCAGAGGTAGAAGGAGAAGAAGAAAAAGAAGAGGACTGCCTGGGAAAGAGTCTGATTTGTAAGAATGCCACTTTTACTAATGTAGGCGCTGGAACCTGAGATGAAGTTTCAGGCTTGTTTCGGTATGATTTCCTGACGGCGGAGGCAAATGCCACGTCACAAAATTTATCTCACAACTGCATTTTGGAGATAAGCCCTTCCAGTTGTATTAAACCAATACTTCCAGAATGCTTACATTTTATGGATAATTTTTCTTGCAAAGGACTTCGCTGTCATGGCGTCTGCCTACAGTTCCATGCTCACATTCGGGGGGTTCCGGATTCGAAATCCACTGTCCAGAGCGAAGCTCTTCAGATCAATATTGAGGTAGCAATTCCAAGTAGACAGGCTGTGATTAATTTTACATCTTTCCTAAATCTTCAGTCACAGAGAAATTCGACGCCAATAAATTGTGAAACTGAACTCTTTCCTCAAGGGAGAACCATGGAATTTAGAGGAAGCTGATGATGAGGACTTTAACAGTTATTATAATATTGTAAGAGTTATGAAATCAAGGAGAATGTGAAGGGAGGGTCGTGCAGCACGAATGAACAGATGAGACATATACGCAAAATTTTAGTCGAAAATCCTGCATACAAGAGGCTACTTACTTGTTATGAGCACAGATTTGAAAAAAATACCAAAATACGAGTAGATGGTAAAATAATAGGAAAATAAATATTAGATGAACAGCTGTGAAGATACGAGGTGAAATGAACTGATTTATGATGATGTACAAAGAGGGCATTGTAATCGGCGACGTTGAACTTTAAAGTTTTGCTAACTGACAATCAGTGAATTAGTGAGACGAATCCTAGGTAAAGAGAGAATGGGGATGTGAACTGGATCACAGTTACTCAGGAATGTGTTCAAGGTGGGATCTTGCATCAGTAGTGTTAAACCTTCCACTATCTCAGAGTCAGAAATTTAACAAGATGGATCATAAATGGATTAAACTGGCTCTCGATAGTATCCGAAGGTACGTGATGCGCGGGTTTGAATTTTCAGGTTATGTTACCAGAGAGTCAGTTGGAAATAAAAAACCTGTTTTGTGTGTAAAAAGAACAGCCTTTATTTACATGACACATGGCAACACTGTCCTCCGGTAAAGGAAGGATTTGTATATTTGTACAGATTATTATGAAAATAAAAATAATCTCTTTGAAGGGAAATATTTACACTACAACAGGCACAAAGCTAGTACATCTGTACGTATAAAACAAATGTGAAACTGTACGAAGTACCACATAAAAAACCTCAAATGCGAGAGTGTGAAGACGGAAAAAGAGACCGGCATGTAGAAAACAAAGAAGTTATAAGAAATTGCGTGTACAGGCACATGCCGCACCGAGACGATGCAAGGCTTTGTAACTGCATACGCATTGATTTCTGAACTTCTAATTAATTAGCCTGGACATATTATCGGTAACAATTTTGTTGTCATGCAGTGTTAATGCACTTATGTAGTATTTATTGAAAAATGTTTGTGTATATAGTGTACAAATAATAAGTAAATTTAATTTTACATTTATAATCATAGACGATCAGGATTTCTCTCTCAAAACCAGAGGAAAATATTTACGTTTTTCTTAAACGGCTGTGGAACTAATTGTGTATCCCATCTATGAGCAAATATAATTACCAACTCTGTAAAACTAAAGAACGGTCTCGTAGGTTGGCTGGCATATGAGCTAGGCTATGACATAGGGTTAAAATTTTTATGTTGGCACTGCTATAGTTTGACACGATACATGATAAAAGTATGTAACAAAAATAAAGAGGCGTGAATACTGATCATAGACTTTTATGTACATTGAAATAAAATATGACAGGGCTTCTCCGTCGGAAGGCATCAAGTCGTTACCCTGTATAAGGCGGCAGATACTCTCTGTTTGGCTGAGAAGGTCGAATGCCTCCACCTGACGGGAGCTGTGTGTCCGCTGACTCTCCGCTAGATGGCGCTCCTGAACCTTGGAATCCAAGAGTCGTACCTCCAGGATGGCCTGCACCTGGAAAACCTCCGCTAGTTCCGTCTGAACCTCCTACGCTTGGGTAACCTTCGTTAGGACCTCCAGCGGCTTGAAGTCCCCCGGGACCACTAGGTCCTCCCCTCTCTGCACCCGGGTAACCTCCAGTGGGTCCACTTGGAAGACTTCCAGGTCGACCTCCGGAAGTACTAGGGCCTTCGGATCCTCCACCTCCTGGAAATCCTCCTTGACCACTGGGTCCTCCCTGACCTGCACCTGGGTAACCTCCGCTGGGTGCCCTCGGACCTCCAGCACTTGGGTAGCTTCCAGGACTACTTGGTCCTCCCTGACCTGCAGCTGGATATCCCCCGCTTGGTCCACTGGGACCTCCAGCACTTGGGTAGCCTCCAGGACCACTGGGTATTCCCTGGCCTGCACCTGGATATGTTCCGCTTGATCCACTGGGGCCTCCAGCACTTGGGTAGCCTCCAGGACCACTGGATAGTCCCTGACCTGCAACTGGATACGCTCCGCCTGGTCCACTGGGGCCTCCATTACTTGGGTAGCCTCCAGGACTACTGGGTATTCCCTGACCTGCACCTGGATATGCTCCGCTTGGTCCACTGGGGCCTCCAGCACTTGTGAAGCCTCCAGAAACACTGGATCCTCCTTCATCTGCACCTGGATACGCTCCGCTAGGTCCACTTGAGCCTCCGGTATTTAAGAAACCTCCTGGTCTGCCACCAGGACCACTAGGACCTCCAGTGCTAGGGAAACCTCCAGGAAAATTTCCACCAGGACCTCCAGGGAAACCGCCAGGAACTTGAGCTCCACCAACAATTGAATAATCGTAGATGAACTCATTCAGTCCGTATAGACTAGGGGCGTTATTGCAGTCAAATTGATCCCACCACACACACACGAAATATTGCTGATGGAAGACGGTGCCATTGGGACACAAAAAGTCGTAAGTCTTGTTGTTCGCACAGATGTGGAAAACTTGGCACCGTGTCTCCACATCGGCATAATAACCAGGGAATCTCTGCTGGTCGCACTGGAAAGATGTTGGAGGTACCTCAGAAAAGACTGGATAATCAGCGCCAGGCTGACCAGGAATAGCAGAGAAATCGCCTTCCTCATATGTCCCTTCGCCCGTGCCACTTTCACCACCAGGCAGACCACCCGTTCCGCCTGGAAAACTACTTGGACGACCTCCGGGGCCACTCGGGAAAGCTCCTGGTCCTTGTGGCCCACCACTAGGAAATCCACTTGGTGGTGTTCCACCCAATGATCCAGGGATGAATCCGCCAGAAGGACCACCAGTTTGTGGCCCGCTGCCGGGCGGTCCTGAAGGATATCCTCCAGAAACTCCAGAAGGTATACCTGCAGACGGTCCCCCAGGTGTGAAATCTGTTTGAGATCCACCACCAAAAGGACCAGAAGGAAAGCCACCAGGACGTCCGGTAGAAGAACCACCAGGGGGGTAACCTCCTTCAGGTCCAACAGAAGGTCCACCGGATGGATAACCTGCTTGAGGTGTACCTCCGGAAGGTCCAGACGGGAAACCTCCGGGTCGTACTGTAGAGGGTCCAGTAGATGGGTAACCAGTTTGAGGTCTAATTGCAGGGCCACGATCAGGAGGGCCATAGGGGACTCCAACGGGTCTTCCGATAGACGGCCCACCAGATGGATAGCCACTTTGAGATCCAGCTGAAGGTCCACCAGAAGGGTAACTTCCTTGGGGGCCACCACCAGCGGGTCCAGAAGGGAAGCCACCGGGTCTTCCAGTAGAGGGACCTTCAGATGGGTAACCACCTTGCGGTCCAGCTGGAGGTCCACCAGAAGGGTAACCTCCTTGGGGGCCACCACCAGTGGGCCCAGAGGGGAAGCCACCGGGTCGTCCGGTAGAGGGTCCACCAGTTGGGTAGCCACCTTGAGGTCCAGGTGACGGTCCACCAGAAGGGTAATTTGCCTGGGGGCCACCACCAGGGGGCCCAGAGGGGAAGCCACCGGGTCGTCCGGTAGAGGGTCCACCAGATGGATAACCACTTTGAGGTCCAGTTGAAGGTCCACCAGAAGGGTAACCTCCCTGGGGGCTACCACCAGGGGGCCCAGAGGGGAAGCCACCGGGTCGTCCGGTAGAGGGTCCACCAGATGGATAACCACTTTGAGGTCCAGTTGAAGGTCCACCAGAAGGGTAACTTCCCTGGGGGCCACCACCAGGGGGCCCAGAGGGGAAGCCTCCGGGTCGTCCGGTAGAGGGTCCACCAGATGGGTAACCACCTTGTTGTCCAGCTGAAGGTCCACCAGAAGGGAAACCTCCCTGGGGGCCACCACCAAGGGGCCCAGAAGGAAAGCCACCGGGTCGTCCGGCGGTAGAGGGTCCACCAGATGGGTAACCACCTTGAGGTCCAGGTGAAGGTCCACCAGAAGGGTAACCTCCTTGGGGGACACCACCAGGGGGCCCAGAAGGAAAGCCACCGGGTCGTCCGGCGGTAGAGGGTCCACCAGATGGGTAACCACCTTGAGGTCCAGGTGAAGGTCCACCAGAAGGGTAACCTCCTTGGGGGACACCACCAGGGGGCCCAGAAGGAAAGCCACCGGGTCGTCCGGCGGTAGAGGGTCCACCAGATGGGTAACCACCTTGCGGTCCAGCTGAAGGTCCACCAGAAGGGTAATCCGCCTGGGGACCACCACCAGGGGGCCCAGAGGGAAAGCCACCGGGTCGTCCGTTAGAGGGTCCACCAGATGGGTAACTACCTTGAGGTCCACCGGGAAGTCCTGACGGATAGCCTCCCTCTTGTCCGCCGCTAGAAGGACCAGATGGGAGAGTAGGTCTACCGCCAGAGGGTCCAGTTGAAGGACCACCGGCCCCAGCCTGCGGTGTGCTTGGACCTCCAGGCACTAAAGGGTTTTTAGGCCGTTCGTATGTGTATCCTTCCTGGGTCTGTTGAAGAGAGAATTTACTGACAATTAATTTTCTATGCTGCAGAAACTGCTGGGTCGTTGGAGTAGGCAGAATGCGAGATCAGAACTTACCAGAGTTGTCCGGCTGAGTGCCAGAAGTACTGAAACAAAGAGAAAGACAAGCATGTGGTTACTGTTTAGACTACAACAAGCATCATAAGTTTCCATAGTGTCAGCCAATGGTGTTCTCGGAGCAGTTGTACTGCCATCACAAATGTTTGTTACACGACGCATTTCAATTTTGAATTGTTAGTTGTCAGTTCACGCTTACTGTCTCCCCGTATATGTTGTTCCTCTACAAGATATAACACAGTCTGAAATGTACAGAATATGATGTAAATACTTTGAAGCTTTTTAATTAATTGAATGCATGATTTAATATAGTCTCTGTGTTTTCGTTTGTTGTGGCGATAGTGACTCAGACAAAGAGCTGTCTTTTGCTTGGTGCAATTGTGATGGTGTACAGCGCTTGTTACATTAATTCAGAAACAAACTGTTAATGGCAGTATGATACATTTTCCTGATTATGAGGCATCTGCCATCGGAATGGTAATGATTCTCATGACGTTGTTTATAGCTCCGAATAACAGGAATATTTATCCACAACTTCTACTGAAGAATTTAACCCGCTCAATGTTATGACTTTCTCTTGTAGCGACAAATTAAATGAGCACTTACATTATCATGATGAGTTAAATTATCATGAGTTCCCTCAAACCAATATCGATAATATTGAATTTTAAATTGAAATGGCAGTTTTTATATCAAGATGGCTCTCCTCAGCATTTAAGAAACAGGTCTGCTTAATGCAAGCCAGTTTAGTTTTCATGAGCGTCATAGCACTATTAGGGGCATGTACATTTTACTCTGACAAACACTCTGAATTTTCCCCGAGAAAGAGCACATAAGTTAAATTATACTCATCGAAAATTTTAAATTAGATAATTTTTATTGTAAGCCAAAGTGCAACTTTGTATCAAATATCCAAGAATATCCCAGCCGTATACATATTGTTGTTAAAATTTAATGTGAAGTGATCCTTAAGCCTCATACATTGAAGTGTGGAACAGTGACGGACATTGAAACCAAACTGGCTTTGATTAAGCAGACACATAACTTCCATGTGCTTTTAGACTATTTTCAGAACAACTTTCTCGAATAAATTATCTGTTGTAGACAAGGGGCTAATCGGGCATAAATTTTAAGGACTTTCGGGTTCTTACCTGGTTCCGTAACGTTATAACTTTTGTTTCCGTCGAACAATTTTGAAAATGGGACAGCTGAATGCAGTGATTAAATAAATGTTTCAGATGTACCAGTGGTCTTCTTTGAAGATGTAAAATATCTCAGAGTAATCTTCGGTAAGAGGATTGCATGGAGATTTCACACAGAAATGATGGTAGCCAAGGCCTTCAGAGCATTTATTAGGATCTACACTCTACTGGAAAGTGAGTGTTTAAGCATCAGCATTAAATTAACCCTCCATAAGGCACTGATCCGATCACTAATATCTTATGCTTGCCCAGCCAGAGAAATTGTCTTAAAATTGTAACGCCTATAAAACAAGGTTCTTCGCACTATCAGAGATTTTCCAACGTGCACACAGATCCGCGATTTGCACAAGACTTGCAACTTTCCGTGTGTATAAAATTATATAACAAAATTGTGCAGGAAAAAACAGAAGTCGCACAAATTCATAAGAATGAACATGTTCTCAGTATAGGGCAAGGCGAAGCCAGATGTAGAAGATAAAAGAGGCTTCAACTTGTCGGCAGTCAAGCTTACGATCGTTCAAGTGACTAAGCTGCCGTTGTAGCATAAGATACGTAAGATAGGCATGATCTGCCCTGCAAAGCATCTACTCGCAGAGGATTTTCATATAGTACAAAATGAAGAATTTTCAATAACATGTTATATGTGCCGTACGTACACTTGACAAAGGGCCAAGCATATTCATAAGAGACAAACCCATCTTTTCGTCGGGCAGGATGTTACACAAGATCTATGACCGCAAGGTTTCAGTTGAAAAGAAATCCTTCGGTCGTGGGACTCAAGGGGCTTTGCGCAAAGACGAACTGATGAGCGGTAAACCGCCAGTCGCAGAGTAACTCTGACTAACTTTGTCTTTGACTGTTGGAGTTACGGGCCCATCACGCTTATGGCGAACGAGCGCGGCAACCTGCGCGGCAGCAACTGCCGCAGCAGGAAATCCAGTGAGCAGGCCTCTCAGAATACGCTCCCATTTCGACTAACAATGACACGTTAAAAGTAGCCATTGTAATGTAACAGATCATCGTAGAGCTCAGCGCATCTTTGTCAGAAAAAAAAAGGCAAAACAACTGTCTTTACCAAATGATACTACATGAAACAAAATGGCTCCTAGAGTTCATAGGCAGCTCAAAATCATAGTACTTAATGCAGTTGGCATTTCAGTGCGGCGCTAGAGTCGTTAAACCGATGAAAAGGCTTATATACAGATGTAGCTGTGCTGTCAGACTCAATTCAAACCCCACGAGAGGTTCTTCTTTCCAAAATATCACTTTTATTGGATTGATCGCTTCCCGGCATCGGCAGTGAACACTAGTGTATGTGTGTAATAGGGAACTGTAAAGTCTAGCCACGTCGTGTATCAAGGAGTCCAGTAATTCCTGTCATCAATCCAAAACCCGTCTATAGTCACTCTATAACGTGAAAATATATTTCTTATCAAGAAACATGCTAACTATTTACTGATTATCCATAAACATGAACAGTTATTTCTTAACAAAAAGCATGATAAATAGTTTCTGATTTTGAATACTAAGGTGTTAATAATTACTACTTATCAGTAAACATGATCAATAGTATACGTAAAATTAAAAACTAATAAAGAGTTTTGTTTATTGGTTTATTATCTAAGGTTTCCAAGCTGCACAGATTATGTACAGCCACACGAGAGACTGAGTAAAATGTCGAATTGCAAAATATTTGAATGAAGCAGTCACCTCCTAAGCCGAATTGTTATCCAAGCATTTGTCCAGATGAACTCAGCTTAATAACAAGAAAGCTGAGCTAGAGTAGCTGATACTAGAGCCGATATTCGAAGTCGCGTTCTTCCAGAAAATGGCAAAAGAAACAGAATTCGAGACAAATATCTATGTCCTTGCTAGGGAAATGGTCACGTATACATGCGACAATAATCCGACAATTCGGAGATGATCTCTGTCTCCATCAACAGGACCACGCGCCGGAGATTTGGAGTCAACTTGTAACCCAATATCCTCCTCTCGAATTCAGAGGTTACACAGTGCAACAAGATTCTCAGAATAACTGAGACAGCTTCCTGTTTCTATTTCAAAACACAATATTTCGGAGACCTGATTCTGTCTCCGTCTTCAGGTAAAACCTACTCAGTTGGGTTCAATATATAGAGCTAGTCCCTGTCTTGGCGCTGCTAAACGTTTCCCCTCTCTCCGGAAACTTGTACCAGCACCAAGGTTATACAAGCCAAGCATAGCACATACCATCTGCGAGAGTTAAGACAAAACATTAAGTAAGTAAAGTAAGTAAAGGTATCCTTGTGACAGCCGTGGAGGCCCATAGGGTTGTGGGATGTTGAGGTTCCCACATTTTCTAGACAATCGGATTATAGATGGCGGCAAGGTTGTCAGTCCTACACTGCGGCCGCCCTTTACCCCGAAGAATGCTCTTGGTACTAATTTCTGCTAGAGGCTAAGTCGACTCCAGGGCCATAGTGCGGCTGGAAGGATTAGGTAATTTGAAAAAAAATTCAATGACCTCATCGGGACTTGAACCCGCGATCTTCCGGCTTGTAGCATAGTGCCTCAACCAACTACAGTACCGCGTGAAATTTTTAAGATATCTGCACTTACGAGGCTTTGCACTAGAGAACTATCAGGATTCTCAGACATGGTCCTACGCTCCGCAACTTGTACGACTGGAGTAATGTATCATGCACTGCTTGTACGTAATACACTGGAATTCGCTTGCAAGTAAAGCCATGATGATTCGCATTAGGATGGCAGTGACTCGACCACATTTCGAACCAAACATATCGGGATAGCTCAGTCGGTATAGAGACGAGCTACGGGCTAGACGACTGAGGGGTCGGTAGGGTCAGGACTCTTCTCTCCTCCACGTCGTCCAGACCGGGTCTGGGGTCCACCCAACCACCTATCCAATGGGTAACGGGGCACCTTTCCCCAGGTGTAAGGAGGTCGTGGCGAGAAGCTCCCCACTCACCTCCAGCTAGTGCAGAGGTCAAGAAAATATGGATCTATATATCCACTCCCCATACGCCTTCATGGCGCAGTGCTCAATTAGTTAAGCATAGGGACAAATTTAGCTTTCTTTACATCCTTAACGCAAACCAGAAATGATTCTCTTCTAAGTGGTATGCCCAGGCGTGAAGACTTCCTGTGACTGTTTAGTTGCTTCACAGTATGGCTGCCATATTGCGACCTTACATTCCTACAAATGAAGCAAGGAAGGAGATATAAGGTCTGCGTGTGAATATCTAGAAATGTGAATTCCCCAAAGTAAGCAAAACATTTAATTAATTAGGGACTGCCAAAAGAGGAGCTGTTGGAAGAACTTTCACTCTCATGGAGAGATGTTACATCATATTTCGTTCTTTATCGTCTTTCTTTTGTTTTCCTATTTTCGCACGGTCATTTAGAAAACCTGAAAAGGGTTTAGTTACGAGTATCTTTTGCCAATCTCTGCTGCAACGAGGAACTTTGTTTCGTCACATCTCTCACGTGTCAGCTGATAATCTGCAGAATGCGATATGACAAAGCAACATGTGGGAACTGGAACGTTTTTGTGGCTGGCCACCCGTCGGCTTTATATTCCATTTCAGGATAAAGCGACAGGTTAAATAAGGCTGTTTGTAAGCAGGCACTGGCTCACGACTTTACATATGCGGCTGTTTAAAGAAACATGTTAACATAAATTTAATGAAGAATTTGCCGATCACAATGGCCTCGCGTTCTAATGCATGAAATCCCTTCGCCCGCTCGAACGCTGGGATCTTGTGTTGGAATCCCACTCGAGACTTGGATGTATGTCTGAGTTTATTCTGTTTGTGTAGGTAGCGGCCTTGCGTCGGGCCGATTCCCCATCCAAGGAGTCCTACCGACTGCATATAAGATTAAGCAACTGAAGTGAAACAAAGCGTTTGATGGATGCTCTATGCGCTCCAAATTGAGAGCAAGCGGAAAGAGAGGAATAGTGAATGAAGAATTCGAGAGGGACGAGACATGTAGCACGTATAGAACAAATGAAAATATGTACAGAAATTTAGTCCGAAAACCTGAATAGAAGGGACAACTTCGGCTACTTGAATCTAGTAAATTCAATAGTAAAGGTAAAAAAAAGTAAAGCTATCCCTGTACCAGGTCGTGAAGGCCCATAGACTTTGAGGGTCACATATTATCTAGACAATCGGCTCATAGATGGCGGCAAAGTTGTCAGAGTTACGCGTCGGCCGCGCTTTACTCCCCAGGAAAATGATTTAATTAATTCCTGCTACTCGTTTCTGTTAGAGGCTGAGTCGACCCCAGGGCCATAGTGCGGCCGGAAGGATTAGGTCAATTGAAAAAAATACATTGACTTCATCGGGACTTGAACCCGCGACCTTCCGGCTTGTAGCATAGTGCCTCAACCAACTACGCTACCGCGTGCCCCTGACTTTAGTTTGGAGATTATTATTTTCTTATGATTTATTTAACGACTGAAATACCACAGTCGGTATAGCGACTGGCTACGGGCTGAAAAATGGAGGGGCCGGAGTTCGAGCCCCAGGAGGGTTAAGAATTGTATTTTCTCCACGCCGGTCAGACATACTCTGGGCTCACTCAGCCTCCTGTTGAATGGGTTCCATGGGTTCCTTCTTCGGGGGTAAAGCGACCGCGGCGTGAAACTGACCACTCACCTCCAACTAGTGCCGAAGTCAAGAAAATATGGGTCTATACATCCATTTCCTCATACTCCTTCATGGCGTAGTGCTTAATTAGTTAATTATACGGACAACTTTACATTACCTCCTGTCAATAGCAAAGACTATATAAAGACGAATGGTAGGCCAATTAGCGGATTATAAATTTGATTTGATGAGGAAGGAAGTAATTTTGTCCTGTTAGAGATAGTATTAATATCCAAGAATTTTCTTACTGGGACTGAGAATGAATCATGATCAATTTAGTGTAGTAGGAATCCTGATTTAGTTTCGAAACAGGCATCTTCTAAGTAGAAATCTGGTGCTTTATTACTTGGGTCAACTTTGTTTGGTCGGAGGATAACATTAAAGCAGCCGCCTGCATTCACGCTGGTATCTTGCTCGGCTGACCAGACCCTGAAAACGCAAACGATATTTTCCTCCGAAACTTTGGTTGACTTTGTATATACTGCAAGACGTTATATCCCGGAAGATAGTACTTTTCAAGAAGAGGTTCACTGCACTTGCCGAGTGGGAGTGTTGTGTTGGATCATGATACACATAACGGAAATGAAGTTGACTCCCTACTACTTGAATCCGCATTTGTTCGTGTATGTGATGGATGTGCGCTTTTAAACGTTTGCTTGACAAAAAAGGGTTAATATAAAGCCAGTTTATTTAATTCAGAGCGGATTCTAGAATTTATAACTACAGTAAATCCTCATTAACGAAGTTAGACTTAATCCGGATCGAAATATGAAAAATAAAAATTTCTGTTCACAGTCGAGTACTTTAAAAGACACATGGGCTTTAGGAGCAACAGGGATTAGAACAATAGGAATTTCAGACTTCGCTGACGGCAGCTGGAGAGACTGTAATCTAGCAAGATTGTATCCAAGGTTGGTGTAAGATGGATGAAAGAGGTCGTGCATTTAAGTTTATTGTCTTTTTTATAGATCTTAAGTAAAGGCTCTGTAGTGATTTTTTATTATTTTCAGTGTTCCTATTCATATGATTAAAGTTTCCATTTATTTTTTCTAACTTTTTTTTTCATTTAGGGTAATCATTTGCGCCATAAATCCCGATTATCGCTTAATCCGGACGACATTTCCCCAAATTAATCGGGATTAGCGAGGGTTTACTGTAAATTCTAATATCAGTACTTGAGGAAGAATTGGTTTCTGTCGCTTCTTGCCTCAAATGATCAACTGGTTTGGCTGTATGTTCCTGCATCTTTTCATATTTCGTGTGATCATGTGTTCGTAGGTCTGTAATCAGGGCAACGCTACTAGGTTTGGACATGCGACAGCAATCCATTAAACTAATCAAATATATCTCATTCTTTATCCCTGCTACACCCAGCCATTCCTGTAAGAAGTTTAGTTACCTCGTCCGCATTCTTATCGCATGCTTTCTTTTTATTGTCCACATAAAGCTACCGGTAATTCCATTGTTTGGAAGTTCATGTAACGCACAGCATAATTTGACGTCTCTGAGACGTCCTACTGTACGGGCCGCATTAGCTATTTTGTCGGCTGTTGAACGTAGAGGAAAAAATATGTAGTCACTCCTTTTCCACTTATTTTTATTATTCACATACAGCTATTGTTACCAGCATTGTTTTAAATTTACTGTAACCATAAGCATGACTTGACGCCTGTGAAACCTCCCACTGCCGATCAGAGTGGCCGCTCTGTCTAAGGCAGGAACCATCTTCGCAAGTTCGAAGACTGGGATCGTTGGTTCGAATCCCACTCGAGGATGCCTTTATTCGGTGTGCAAGTAGCGACCTTGCTAAATAGATAGATAGATAGATAAGTAGATAGATAGATAGATAGATAGATAGACAGATAGATAGAAACCTCCTAATACAAAGGTATTATCTATTTCATCGGCTGTGAAACATCACTGCAGCAAAGTCGAAATAGTTCAGATACTTGATATCAGATGTAGTACTCGTAAAGCTATGCAGTTGATTTGCGATAATTCTCAGGTATTTGTTTTGAAGTGTTTGAAATAATTTTATGCAAGTAATTTGTGTATGTGTATATATATATATTTTTTTTATATATAGAGCAGGCCGCTAGGCTAATCTCTGAACGTTGGTACATAATATAATTACTAAACCCGGCCACTTACCAATAAGCATCGAACACGTCTTCATGTTTGTTGGTGCAGCCTCTGAAACACAAGAATTAATGGAGCGTTTTAATTTCCTGCAGTCATTTCCTGAGACCGATTTTCATTTCTCTCTGCGGGTTGACCTACTTCTGGGAATAATTTAATTAATTCCTAGCACTGTTTTCTTTTCAAGAGGAGAGGATCGGCGACAGACCATTCAAAGTGGGGCAAGGGGTTTTGGCACCAAGCAGGATGATTGACAATGACGGAAAGCTTATACAAACATCCATGGCTTAAGCGGGATTCCAACCCGCAGAACAAAAGTCCACTTAACCTGTGACCTCGCGCACCTTATGTCACATGGAAATAACGCAATGAAGCGCTTCCTAATTGTAATCATCGCTATCACCTCGATGATCAACTCAAGGAGGATGAGGTGGACGGGAACGTGGCGGTGGTGGTGGTGGTGGGGGGGTGGGGATTTACAGTAAATTTTGGCGGAAATCTGAAGGGATATATAATCAGAGAACAGAGGCTAACTGATGGGTAGTACTGCTATTGTAAGCTTTGTCAATGCGGTAACGGATCTTCCGGTTCCAATGAGGGCCGAAATTTTTTTCATAAATGTGCAGTTAACAGATTTTCAAGTATTCTATTTCGTGGAGCTTCAAGGTTAATTTCCTATTTGTTTCCTCCATCGTGCAGCCACTAGGATTGGCAATGTAAATAAGCATTTAATCGATAGCTTAATTAATTAACTCTTCTTTACCGACAGATGGATTCTGTATATTAAGAGGAGTTAGATCACAAAGTCAACAAAAGCCCAATGAAAAGTGGCGAAAGCGGAGTTAAAAGCTTGTAGCCTTTTGTTACTGACGTCATAAGGAGAGACGCCTCTGTGGTAAAGAATGTGTCTTTATTTAACCATTTCCGCAGTGTCGTCATGCAATTTTGTAGCCACGAGATTGTTTTGGGTACGTGCTCAGAGACGCTGCTTAGTTGTACTGATCCCTCAGAAGTGACATTTATGTTAAATCGTCAGGTTTTGATGTACAAACAGAATATATCTTTTCATTCCGTTCATGAATTTGCAATGAAATAGTGACCAATTTTTACATCCAACAAAATCCCACTTACTATACTTTTAGAGAAAATAAATAGTTTAATAAATAGGGATATTATGTCAAAGTTTTGGTGTCGATGGCTGACTTATTCCAGGTGGGGTTGGTGCCCGATTTCGCATAAGTTTCTCAGTAAAAGTTATTTCTTTTTTCTCAGAATAACTCTTAGTTAAGTTGGCGAAATTGCTACAAGTGCAGCAAAAATTCACAAAATATACATCATATCTTTCTACTTGAATTTAATGCAGGATTGGACATGTACACAACTAGCTCGCTAGTCACGCGAAATATTTATATCCGTTCAGTTATGATTCAGATTTCAGCACGTCTGTGAGAGTTATGATGCACGAAATGGCGAGATTTTGGAAAAGTGTGAATGACGCTGATTACCGAAATATTTTCCAGACAGATGGACACAATTTGTGGCCCCATCAGACGTGGGAGGCACCAGCAGAAAGCCACTTCATGTGCGGCTTTGGAAACGTAAAGGAATATGTTTCCGCCTACATACGCCTTGCCTATTAGAATCCCAATTTCATTCATTCATTCGTTTATCCATTCATTCCTACATCCATTCATCAATAGCTCTACAGCCCTTTTTTGGGCCATGGCCACTTCTTCAGTTTCGTAATAATTTTTATGTAAACAGTAAGATTACTTGGAGGAGTGATGAGCCTGTCACAAGGCCGCCACTTACACACAGGACAACACAACACAGAATAAAAGCACACACAAATATCCATGCATTTGACTCTGATTCGAACCCACGATCCCAGAGTTCGAGCGAGCGACGAACCCGAAGTACTTAATATAAATAACAGTATTGCAGCAAACTTAACAACATACATGTTTGCACACAAACAAGTTATCGTGAAGTATACTTGCGTGTGCCTCTCTCTGAAGTATACAAAGCGTATCCCATAATTTACTGTTAATTTAGTTTACGAAATATTACTCCGAATTCTATGTCGGTGTCTATTTTTATCAGAGAAGTAACTAAAAGGGTATGCTCAAATTTTACACCGATACTTATGATTAAATTTGTTAGCGTATATTCACTTTTCTCCAGGTTTTACTCTCGAAGAAAAAACCTCCATTTTCATAGAGTAGGAGGCTGCATGGGTCCTTACTGCTTATAGTACAATAAATGCCTAAACAGCAAAAAGCGAGACTTACTAGCAAGGTATAAATTCCAACTTTACAAATGTAGAGTGTTTGTAGAGGAGGAAATGGGACAATCATTTCTGAATGCACGGCGATTGCTGCTTCCAGTTCGACCGCACTTGCAACAATACAGTTACATATGTAGGGAACTGGATTTTGACGGTGAGGTTCAGTAAGTCACGACGGCGTTTGAGGCCTAGAATACTGGGTCCACGTTTCGAATCTCTCTCGTGTTTTCTTTTGTGCTATCCGACATAGATGGTGGCACTGAGATGGGCCACTTCCCTGACCCGGGGACCATAACAAACATCTAAATGATTCACACTTTCAGAATTAGTTAGGAATCGAAATTCTAATTCTTGAAAGCATGAGAAGATGAGTACCAAATGAGCTTTAGCATGATGAGTGTTTGCAAAACCTGAATGGAAGAACTTACGTTATATGTCAAGCTTCTTGTAACATTCATATATAGAATTTCTGTGCCTCTCCTGTGCACATGCTTCACATGTACTGATGTCCTTACCTCGCCTGGACGTGAAGCTCCACTCCATCTCTCGAAGGCAACCACTAGACTGATGTTACCATCTGCCCTCACCTGGTATTTATACTAACCAAGGCGCCTTCACGAGATTTAAAATCCAGAGCTTCTTCAAGGATGCTCTACAAGTGAGAGGGAGGGGGTGAGAAATAAATCGTGAAATATGATAAGCCATCCACCTCCTTACAATCGGTTTCTGATTGGCTCTTTGATGTAGTGAGGGGAGAGATCTGGGTCCTGAAACTGTCTTAAGATTCTGTCGGTTACAGAGTGTGACGTCAGGGATTATGTGATTGTGGTGGGAATAATTTCACTAAGTGACTGCAACAAGGCTTAGGAGAGAGAAAGAAATGGAGGAAGTGGGGAGCTGGCTCGTCTGAGTGGGGCTTCGAGTGTATTTTCCCTTGGATGTGTGTGTAAGGATGCTGAAGATTCACATGCTTCCATATGAATACTATAATACACAGCGTTGTTGTGGTCTATTGGACTTTCACTGATCTCAGAAGCAGCCACAAGTAGGGTAGCGGGGTACCATACCGCACGAGAAGCAAACAGCTTCAACACAGCGGGAAATGGTTCATGATCACAGCTAAGCGCTCTTCAGTTAAAATGGTCGCTCGCTACATTCACAGTCTTAAACTTTCAAAATCAGAACTGATGCATAGAAATTTAGATTTAATCTCAACGTTCGTAGTGGAATTTTTTCCACACCAGATGTAACATTTATATCGTAATGTCTCGGTCTTCTGCAAACTAGAGGCGTTTTTTCCGTGCCAGATTGGGTTGTTATATCGTCAAGATTTGGTTACTAGAATATCTTTATCAAAAAATATGAATTCCTTCAAGGTGCAGTTCGTATTCAACAATCGAAGGCTCCTAATGCTCAGGCTATACTTACGACATCATTATAACCGGCTCCTGTTTCAAAGCGAACGTCTAGTCATTATAAAATCGTTTTGAAATTGGTAAAGTATGTAATTCTGAAATACAACGTGAAATTCAAACAAAACTAGGCTTGAGGCCATGGTTTAACTTTGTTTCTTTGTTAAAGAACAGAACAGAGAATTGTAAAGAAAATTATAGTCGTATTTATATTACACCTTCACATCAAGTCTCTAATCCCTTGTTCCCGTAGTTAAAATGTTTCAGCCACGGAAGACAACAGTTATACAGTCCCTCCCTGGACTATTGTGTCTTTACTTAACTGACCAACCGTCACGCCATGAATACTTACAGAGGAACGGAAATACAGCTCCATTCATACTAAACTTCTGCAGTAGATTGTCAGCTTCATGAGTTAGCATTTTAAAGCTCCTAAAAATCTTTGTATAGGCTAGATGGGCTAAGGACTGACTGGACGTTTCGGGGAAGAGAAAAATGTCTTGTTCCTCGCCGGAACCGAACCTCGATTCTTAGGTAGTATAGCCCGTAGCGCAGTAGCTGTACAGAATGAGCTATTCAGGTTCCATTATTATTAATTTAGGCCTCCACTGCCTCCAGGTTTTCCTCCCTGGAGAGTCTGTATGTACTATACTTTACTTTAGTCAGGTCTAAGTTGGAATATGCCTCAGTACTTTGCAACTATATCACCTCGACTGATGCCAATAAGCTTGAGCGCAACCAGCAGAAGTTTGCGTCCGTCTGTTTTTATCGCTTTTCCCCCTCATATTTCATATAATTATACTGATGTTTTAGAGAAATTAAGTCTGCAATCTTTACATAAACGGAGACATCACCTTGATGAACTTTTTCTTGTTCAGGTCTTTCGTGGTCTTAAATCCTGCTCTTCTCTTTTGGAAAATGTTAGCCTTCGTGTTCCTCCCAGCAATCTTAGGGACTTCTCATTGTTTGGTGTTGTCCCTCTAATAAACACGGTCCTTCTCCTCGGTGCGCCTGCGCTGCCAACGCAGTGGGTAAAGATCTCGACATATTTGCAATCGGAACAGTTTCTGTCAATCATATTTCGCATGTAAATAAACAAGAAGTTGGAATCGATTAATATATTTATAGCGCGCTTGGTCGCTACCGGTCATCTTGCTGGTCGTGCTCAAAGGGTTTTTCCTCTATCTGTATTGGTTAAAATCTGCAGAATTCTTTCACTTCGCCGATTTGCAACTACACGTAGAATTCTTACACTTCACAAATTTGCAACTACACATAGAATTCTTTCACTTCACAAATTTGCCACTACACGCAGAATTCTTTCATTTCACAGATTTGCAACCCCACACCTGACACCAGATTTTTCTCTCCTCTGTCGTGACCCAAGATGGTGGCGGGTCGACTGAATTATGTTGGCCGAGCGGTAGCGTAATAATTCAGTGATGGTGATGGTCAGTTGGCTGCTGGAGCGGGTATTCCAACCACAAAGAGCAAATACTCACTACAGATAATAGAGGATTTATTGATTCTTAGTGTATATTACATACAAGCGCTGGTGGACGTAAGCCTGGCCAGCCTTCTCATAGCCCCAACCCAGACAAAATGCACCCTTCAACATCCTTCTTCTTCTTAAAACCTATCTAAAAACTAAACTTTCAGCCCAATGTCTCGAGACATGAACCCTCACGCAGATCAGATTACACCAGCTGCTGGTGAAGGATAGGTCCCAGACGAAACACTCCAGGACCCCACTAATTTATGGAATGGCAGGGGTAGATATAACATTTTTTCTCTGAGGAAGCGGGTCAACCTCTTGACGTGCTGTAAATTTAGTAGAGCGCATGACCCCAGACATCAGACTCAAGTTCCTAAAATTGAAAAGGGTTGCGAACCCCGCAACACTGGCTTCCCGAACTGTCCCCGTGACTCCATTACCAGCTTCTGACAGCAACAGCTCTCAACGACTGAACCTCAGTAGTCCTCTGACCAGTTCACTTACTGACTAACTCACTCACAAACCAACTAAGTTAAATCACCTAACTGAACACTCTCTCAAAGTCAAAGTCAAAGACACATTGTGACTGAAAGTCAGTCAGTCAGTCTTGGTGTCGAGCCCGATCAGGGGCCTATGACCAGATATTCATTACTGTTTGACAGTTTCGGTCCGTTTTTTGTGGGGCGCCCTCTCTGATGAGAGGACGGGTCTATCTTTTGTCAGAGTCATTCTCTGCAGTAGTAAGTCATTTGTCATAATGTAAAGGATATTTAGATTTTACATGTTAAACATGTTAATAAATGTGTATAAAATATATACAGGGCCTCTGTCAGTGCAGGCTCAGTACAGCGGATTTTGCCCTATTTCTAGTAGCCGGTTTGGACGATGTGGAGAGGAGAAATATCTTGTCCTCCCGGGAAGCGAACTCCGGCCGTCCAGACTGTAGACCGTCACTCTGCCGACTGAACAATACCACCTCTCTTATTTCTTCGAAGCTTGAAATTCATCTATTTTTTTTTAAATCAGGTCTTACCTCTCGGAAAACACGCCATATCTCTATTGTAAAAGACCAACCAGTTTGTATTGTACAGGGAAAAAGTGGTTTGTTCAGGAAATTGTAAGTAACGCATGCATAACCACTGTGAACATAATGCAGGATTTCTTAATGTTAAGGCAGACAGGAAATACAGTTACTGGTGCGTTATAAAATGTTATAAATATTCCTCTGACGTATGAACCTAGAGTTCATGTAGATTCCTTGCGCTGAAATGAATTCCGGCGGAAAAAGAAACTTCTGATAATTACTGTCCTTTAAATGATTTTGGTGATGACGATTATTAATTTCTGAATTGTGACTCGGTATAGTTTGGATAAAAAGTACCTGCGTTATTGGCGAGTAATTTGCTTCCCAGGGAATTTCAGGTTTTACACTGAGGATGGAAACAGCAGATTCTACCGAAATTTATGTACTTACGTGGCCAGACACACAAAAAGAAGAGACTAACCCTACAGCTTGCGAACCAAGCGTGGCAAGGAAGAGACAAGGAGACCGTGAGACAACGCTCAACTCCCCAGCTTCACTCAATACGAGTGGACGCGTGTTCAAATATAGACGTTTTCATACCCTCGGTCGGAAAATGTTGGAATGCAAAAGGTGAACGGTGAGTTAACATAAAGTTTCTTGTGAAATTCGCGACGGAAACTTTTCAATTGTTGACTGAGGCTTCCGGTGAAGAGTGCATGTCTCGTGCACGCGTTCTTGAAGGGCTCAAATTATTTTAGGAAGGCAGAGAAAGTTGTTCGTAGTTTAGGGCCATGTTGGTTGTTTTCTTCGATATCCAAGACATTTTATGGCAGAGTGGGTCCCCAGCGGGCAGACGGTAAATCAGCCGTGTTACCTTGAAGTCTTGACGAAATTGCGCGAATGCGTGAGGAGAAATGACCAAAATTATGGAGAGAAGTTGGATTTTGCACCAAGACAACGGGCCAGCCCACAACGCTTTTTCTGTGAAGCAGTTTTTAGCTAATCACAACAACATTGAGCTTGAACACCCACCCTGTTCACCAGACCTGGCTCCCTGCAACTGCTACCCCATTCCAAAAATCAAGTCGGTGCACAAAGGAACCCATTTTTTGTCGTTAGAAGATGTGAGAGGGTCATTCCATGTGAAATCATCCAGAAAGGTCGCTCACCATTTAAAAAAATAAAAATTTGTACACATATTTCTACATATTTTCACATCTCAAAAAAGTGTTAAAAAATTGTGATCCGCTCGGTTCTCCCTGTACAGCCGCCTTTATAATGCAGAAAACCCTTTTTCGGCTCAAATGGAGGTTTGCGTTATCTTCTGTATCTCGATACTTATTGAAGCTAGAGACTTCAATGAAAAATCAATTTGTTCTTCATGATATGGACTATAAATCATATCATTGTAAGATTTTACTCAACTCACTTTCTCTAGATGTAATTAAGCTTGAAACTTACCCATCGACCTTGGGAAAAACGCTATTTTTGACCTTCAGAAACCAGTTGGAGGGGGAAAGTATTAGATCTGTGGTTTCTACCCTTTGTTTTCTCCTACATGAAGAATATAATCACATAGTTCTGAACACCGTATATATTTTCC